GCGGGCAGCCCCGCCACCGCCGCCCGCGTCCGCAGGAGAGGCCAGCAGGACGTGCTGCGCGGGTAGGGCCGCGCCGCGCAGCTCCCTCGGGCCCGGGCACGGGGGCAGCCTCAGGGGACAGGAAAGGGCAGCAAGAGCCTGGATGCCGAGAGGCTAGATCCATGCCCAGGTCCTGGGGTTTGGGAATGATTCCCCCCCCCCCATATTATTATTATTTTCTCTATGATCTTAATCTTCGCATTCTCTTGAGCGCAAGCCCGATAGTCAAGTCCCAAAGCTGGACTGAGCACAGCTCATCTTTATCACTTCAGTCGATGAGTCTGTGCGGCTAAGTGTCCTCCTTCCCCCGACCTCCCCTCCTGGCGCTTCGGATGCTCCCCAAGCGCAGGCAGGCAGCCTCCAGGCTGCGCCCCCGCCCCGGTCTCGCTTCGTGTTGAGAAAAAGTGAAAAATGTACTGCGGTGGGGGCGAGGCGCAAAATGTTGCCCCAGTGTTGCTTCCGTGGGGGCAAGTCAGGATGTCGCTTCAGTCCCGGCAGCCTGGAGAGCTTTAGCTACTGCGCTGTGCCTCTTGGCTCGGGGCTTTGTGCTGCCTGCATGGATACCTGCTGGAGAGCTGTGCCTGGGCAATGGGGGGTTTTGTGCATGGTGTGCTTCACTTTTGGTTTGTCGTCCTGATCGACCCCTCAGGCAGGAGGCCCTTCTGCTCTGTCTCAGAACTTCTCACTTAACAAACTGTGTGTCAGGGTTAGGTCATTTTGGAGAGGCAAGCAGGCTGTTTTTGGTTGATGTTGTGGAAAAAAAATGACTGTTCCTAGGCACCCCGGGGCCCAGTATGTCCTTGGTCCGTCGGCACTTTGATTGAAAGCAGAAGAGATGCGCCACCAAATGGATTTGCTTCACTGCTTTTCCTCGCTCCCTCCTTCCCCCCCCTTCAAAAATTGAAAACCATGTTATGCAAAATGAGTTGGGTTCATTGAAGGAGTTGGTTTTATCAGTTTCTATCGGAGGAAAGTTTAGTTTGGTTTTGGAAGGCATATATATAGGTATTTGGTGTGTTTAGGGGTATGGATTTTGCTTTCTTTTTGGGGGGAGGTTGTTTTTTGTTTGTTTGGTTTTTTTGGCAAATTAGCATTTGTATTATGTGACCAGTAGATTTATTATCTTTTTGAATATGTCAACCCATGGCTGTATGTTTATGGTGACCTGTGTTTTTTGCATATGCCTTTATTTGTGTGTCTGTGTGACAGGCCAAATGTGTGTGGCTCTAGATTCCACTCCTATTGTTGCCCTGGATGGAAAACGCTCCCTGGAGGAAATCAGTGTATTGTTCGTAAGTGTCTGACTTCCATTTTTGTTTTATTTATTTATTTATTTATTTATTTATATATAAACACCCCCCCCCCGGGGGTAATAATAATGGACTGAAATTGTCTTCCCTGAAATTTCCTGCTTGTTCAGTTTAATAACATGGGATTCATCTTGAAATTAATTTGGCAAGTTGACACAAAAAAAAAAAAAAAAAGTATTGGCTCACAGTTCCCATAACAGCAAGATTGGCAAATCATTGTATTTTGTTTGGTACATTCATAAGAGACATGGATCCATTTAGCTAAAAAAAATCATAAATCAAGTGATTAGCAGTCAAAATGGAAAACATCCAAATGTGAAACAAGTGAAATCTGAAGTTTTCTAAGAACTTCTGTGGCAAACCTGGAATGGCAAAGCTACAATGTTGTGAGGAACTTCTGTAGTGTGTAGGGATGCTTATGCTCCTGCTTGTAATTTTTAGTTATGTTTTAATAGCTATAAAGTTATAAAGCCTATAGACTGATATTGCATTGGTCAGAAGGACTGTTAAGCTGACAGAGCTAGCTGTTGACATGGCTTGGCAAAAGAAAGCAAGTCTGAGTGCCCTAGTTAGGAAAAATTGTCTACCTAGAAAGGAAATATAAAATTAAACTAGAGTTTCTGTCTGCTGGATTATAATTGATTTCAGAGGCATACTTTTTTTCTCTCTTTGAACTGTAGCTTTAATGAGGCACTGTAGCCATTCTTCCCAGCCTTTAAGTGTCTTGTCTTTATCTGTTTTCCTTACAAACATGCCAAACTTCACATTTCAAATACAGAAATACATTCTGTAGGTCTGCTGGGATATGCTCTGTAATGCTCTGTCTACCAAATCATAGATGTTCAGGCACAAAATGGGGAATGAGAGGAAAATGTAGGCTTTTTCAAGTCAGAGATGAAAGAGCCATTGCCTAATAACACAGTACTGTTGGCTTTTTTTTTTAAACTTTTTTGTTGATTGTATATCTAAATAGGTCTTGATAACATTACCTTCAGCTGTGCGGGGTATGTTGACCCCTGGGTTGGCCTTAATGTTGTACAGAAAATAATTCGGAACACAGAAGCCTATCCCTAGCGGTGGGTTAATGAGAATACTTGAGCACGTGCAACTCTGCATTTGCTATCTTTCGTACATTTGATTGTTAGCCCAAGGGACACTTATTGTAAAATTTATAAGCAGCATGGAGGGACTGATTTTTTTTTTTTTTTCCCCAAGGTATTATAGTACGTAAACATACACATAGGCATCTAATGGGATTAGATGTCACGTCCAAAGTAGAGGCACACCTGTGTTGAAATCAATGACGGTTACATAAACTCAACGACAGTTACATACCTTCATACTTTTTCAGAAATGTCAGTTTGCCTAATGCATCTTTAGGTGCCACAATACCTTTAAAAAATCTGGCATATAGGACATACTAAGGTGATTTTTTTTCATGCAGAAAACTCCTATTGACTTCATGTGACTTATCTACACAGAGAACTCTTATTCTTTTTAACTTAATAATAAATTCACTGATTAAGTGGCACAAAATTGGGCCAACAGGACTGAGAGATTGGGTGGGCTGTTAATACCTGACACTGCTTTCAGTGCGTCATAGGTGGTGGAAGAGGGGAACATGTTTCTATAGTGACTGTAAATTGTTGTTACAAGTGGTCTCCCTTAAAACCCTGTATAACAGCTGTTCAGTTATGCCAGGTTTACATGAGAGAAGGATACCTATGCCAGCAACCCCTCTAGTGGAGATGAGTTGCTAGTAAAGCTCATTGCTTCAAATGAAGTAAATTATACAGGCAAAAGCACTTTCTTAATTGCATTTACAGTTGGGTATTCTGTGTGTATCAAAATGTGATAAAGACTTGCAGCCTAAATTGACATTCTTTAATCAACAAGCATTTCTAGTATAGATCTTGTCTTAGGAAATTGACCTGTTCTGTTTTGTTTTCCTCTCTCTGTGGACTGGAAAAAAAATCAACTTCTGACTTAAAAAAATCAACTTTGGGTAGTCTGTTTCCCAGGTGTTATAATTAACGTGCATGGGGTGGGGTGGGGTGGGGTGGTGCCCCCCCTCCCTGCACCCCATAGAAGAGCTGTAGCTCCATCCTGTGCTCACCTTGCCCCAGTTGGGCAGTGCCTGCCCCAGCCCTGGCCCCACTCCCTCCTTTACTGCAGGGGGCGTAGATATGCCCCCCTACACCCCTTCCCTCCCTCCTTCCCTTCAACCGCAACGGACTTACCAGCTGCATGCAGCTCTCCACGCTGCCAGGTTGTGCTCCTTGCTGCCTGCATGCTGCGCTGCATAGGTAGCAAATTATCGGCCACATCAGGCTGATTTCTGATATGCTCAATTTTCTTTATATCAGTGCCGATCCAATATCGGACCTATCTATTGGTACATCTCTAGAGAATAGTAAAGCATTAGGGCTAGGGACAGAAATTATACATAAACCGGTATAAGTGATTGAAAACCCATTCAAATTTTTAACACAGCAGAAGTTCAGTACACATAAACTGCTTCTTAAATGGCTGAAATCAGTTTAAGATAAACCTGGATAGATGTAGTATCAGGCTTAACTGATTTAGGTTTAATTGGTTTCTTGAACTTCTGTCTCAGGTGCCCTCCAGATTCAAGTTAACTCACAGTTCCCCAGCATCTCAGGATGCTTTGCATTGCCCACCTCCCTTGCAGGGTATGTGGGCTAGCGTTGGCCCAAGCTGTCTGCTGCAGTTGAGCAGAGAGGTGTACTCTAGGGCCCCCCAGCTTCTGGCCTGAGCCACTGCAGGCATGTGGCTACATTTCTAGAATAAAAAATAAATGTCTATTGACTTGCTTTTGGTTCAATCTACACAGCTTAGACTAACCTGCACAGATTGAACCGATTCAGCTTTGGGCTTTTTGGCTGTCTGTACTTAGCCTAAGAATTTGTGTTTATGGAAACAACACTTAGAGTCCTTTGTTAGCACAGTTTTCATTTTGTTCTGGGTTTTGTCTTTGCATTTTCTGTGGCAAGTTTCTATCACAATATGAACAGGTTAGGGCCATTATCTTTCTGCATAGATACCTTAAAATAGGCCCTTAAGATTTAATTATCAAATTTACTTAAGTAGTTTGAATGATGAATCCTAATTCCTAGTGCTGCATAAGAAATAATTTACAGGTAACAGACAGAAGTTTACAGTGTTCTTTTACTTTCTTTGAAGATTAGCTGAATTATTCATAGGCTAGTTTAACAATTTACATCTTTGAAATGTGTCAGTTATTAGTATAAATTGTGTTAAAATTATCACACGGCATTGCTACTTCTCTCTCAAAGTGTTCATCAGGTCAAAAATTGTAATCTAGTCCTTTTTTTAGAACTGTGGCAGGGCACTGGTTGTACCTGCCACTTTAAGGTCCTGGAGCAGGCAGCTGCCAGGTGCCTGATGAGGGCAGCCATTTTGGGACCTGGGGCTGCCCATATAAACAGGGCATCTCGGCAGCTAGAGGCCAGGCAACATCACAGCCGGGCTGGAGGGCTGCTGATATCGTCTGGAGGTAAGGGAGGAGCTGTAAGGGATGGTTAGGAGGCTCCTGGTCCTGGGTATGACCTAAAACTACACCCTGCCCAGAGTGGGTGGCCTGGTGGGGCTCTCAGTGGTGCGGGAGCCCCCAGGAAATGCCAGGCCAGTTACCACCTCGGTGAAAGGTGGGTCGGGGCGTCTTAACCCCTAGCCCCACAGCCAGGTGGGTTACCCCTTTCTTGGAGGGTCGGGAAGGTGGACCCCATGAAGAAGAGTAAGGGCCATTGACTCGGGGCCTGTCTGAACTTCCCCCTGACTGGCCCATGCTGGGGCCAGGACCGGAAGGGTTGAAGGGCCAGGGGCCCACCGCGAGGAATACTTTCATAGACATTAGGGCTGGAAGGGACCTCGGAAGATCATCGAGTCCAGCCCTCTGCCCAAAGGGCAGGAAGTCAGCTGGGGTCATAGGATCCCAGCAAGATAAGCATCCAGTTTGCTCTTGAAGGTGTTCAATGAAGGCGCTTGAACCACCTCCGGTGGCAGGCTGTTCCAGACCTTGGGGGCTCGGACAGTAAAGAAATTCTTCCTTATGTCCAGCCTGAAAC